CACGAGTTTCCAAACAAGTTAAAATGCGTTTATGCTCGGAAATAGAAATCATATAAAAAGAAATTCCAAGTTTACAATCATCGGGTTGTTCTCGCAGAGTTCAACTTTGATAGATAACAACGTTGCTAACTTATTTCCATACTGATATTTTAACAATATTCTTTTCTATTTCTCAGCTACTTTGAAAATACATAATGCAGGAAGAGAACCGAAAAACGACTTTCTCTTTCTCCCTTAAATTAGCGTAGAAATTCGCGAATACATTATGCAGAGTTAATCACTTTGAGAATAGTTTAGTCCATTCCGGAATAATCTGTAAAAACCAAGATGATTAATGACAGTAGTTGTCTTAAAAAGAAAAAGTTGTCAAAGCTCGCTTCTTAGGTTAGGAAAAGAAATTTACGAAGTAATAAAAAGTATTCCCTGGACTTCGCACGTCTTTGAGAGTTGAGTTAATTGTTGTCGTAGATGTCTAACTTGAGTGTTTAGTTGTTTCCATTACACGTGTAATTACTTGCTCGACCAGTTGCTATGGTAATTTCTAATTAAGAGCTTAAGTATCTTAAATATTTGCCAGTTATTTTGGAAGATTTCTCGGAGGTATTATACAAGCTTTAAAATTTTCATGACAAGATTTCTTGTTTTCTGAAATTAGTCACCAAGACGTTTCTCTAATTATAGAACCGTACATATCGAAATTAAATCATCAGAAGGAATTATCTGCGAGCAGTTATATGTAGGCATCTATAATTTTTTTATACGCAGCAAGAATATTTTTAGATTTTAGTTCTTACTTGCTACTGAATTTCAACATCTTAAATTAATTATTCTACTTTCCTCTCTTTTTCAATTGATAAAATGGAAAGACTGTTTAGTCGCGCTTAGCTCATTGTGGACCTTAAGCACGATTTTATCAATTTTAATTCTGAAAAGCTTCTTTAACATGAAGCTAACGAAACAAATGGTTAAAAAAATCTTAGATAGAGCGCTAGACTTGGAACAGACTCAAATTAGCCCCATTTTACGATGAATCTGTAGTCCACTGAACCTCTTCTTGGGAAGAAATGCTGGCAGCTTTCAAGTGGCACCCAGTCGTAAAATTTCCAAAATTATGTCCTCTGCACAAAATTCATCGTAGATTTTTGTCAGATTTGGAACTATTCCATAAACATCTTTTTTTGATGACGTTAGCAGTTGTATTTATAAACTTACTGTTGACGTTGAAGTTCCCGCTGACGTTGCTTTTAGAGCTGAAAATTGTCATTTACAAACCCCGTTCCCAAGTTGACGTTGATAGTAACTTTGATGTTAAACTTTTGTCGTATTTAAAAGGATTGTAGAAGAAAAGTGGAGGATTTATGTTGATTACTAAAAAAATTTACCATTTTAGACATATTTTAAGTTTCTTGTTGTCGAAATAAGTCGGCATATACTAAGAAAAAAATGGCAAAATGTAGCCCCCCCCCCCCCCCTCCCATCTCAATTGTGATGATTTTTGTATTCGTCATGAGCCAAGGGGCGGAGCTGAACTGCAAAATCCTTATTTCTCTACGACCTCCGTCATCTAAATATGTAGTAATAAAGTTTTCATTCGTTGCCAGATACAGGGGTGGAGCCTAAATGCAAAATCCATATTTCCCTTAAAAAATGTACCATTTTGAGCGTGTTTTACGTTTCTACGAATAAAAAAAATCATCACAATTGAGATGGGGTGGGTGGGCGGGGTTAATATTTTGATTTTTTTTTCTTAACGTCATGAATAGATTTTTTTTAAACAATACTATTTATTAGAACTTTTGGTAAGTATTTTGCAAAAGTCTGAGAGAATGGTTCTACGTCCATTAGGGTTGTGCTATTTGTATTTCACATTCTTGACGATTTGTGCTATTTAACTATATGACGACCAATAAAACTTGAATTTCGGCGACTGAGTTTTGCACTGCTGCAAAATTATTCGATTTGACACACCTATAACATATAACCTTAACGACAAAATTAAAAACAAATTAAAATTCTTAAACTCAAATGCATCATGATGCCAAAAAAGCAGTATTTTCGGTTATGTAAGATATTCTATTTCAATATTAAATTATATATTTAAACGAGCATAAAGAATATTGTTTTATTATTTACCCCTATACAGTACGTTTTTTTATTAATACATCATAGAGATTTCCGTGGTGTAAACTTTAAATCGTGTTCATGGTTTTTCTACTGACGCGAATTTACATAGAAGCTTAGTTCATATTATACTTTCTACAAATTCAGATAATTTTTAGACTCGAAAAAGTAAAAGTAATTCAATTAAAAATTATAAATAATTCCACGATTTTAATCAATTTACCTCAAATTTTTGGTATATTAAACTAACACAAACACAATTTACAACTGTAGATTTGCCTTATTGACTGCTCCATTGTCGTCTTCACAATATCCTAATTTTTCAACAGCCACATAACCTTGTAGTATTTCGGACACTATACATCCTCGTATAAAAACACGACTGCGAAATCAATAAAATGTTGGAAATGTTTCTTGTCAGAGGACATTTTTTAAATTCGTTTCCAAACAATAATAATGTTTTCAGTCTCTTGTTGGGAAAAAAAAGACTTCTTATATTAAGAAAAAAATGGACAAAACATAAGCCCCGCCCACCCACCCCTGTCTCTATTGTGATGAATGTTTTATTCATCATGAGCTGAAGGGCGAAGCTTAGTTTGCAAAATCCTCATTTCTCTACAAGAAATTGCCATATGAAATATGTTTTGAAAAGGATAGAATTTTTTAGAGAAACATTGATGTAAAAACATATTTCATATGATAATTTCTTGTAGAGAAATGAGAATTTTGCAGTTAAACTCCGCCCTTCGGTCTGATTAGGAATGAAAAACTCATCACAATTGAGATCGGGCGGGTGGGTGGGGCTTAATTTTTGTTTTTGTTTTGTTTTAATATATAGAGTTTTCTTTCAACAACAAGATAATTAAAGATATTGTCAGTTTCTTGTTGGGAAAAGAAAACTTCGTATATTAAAAAAAAAAATGGACAAAATATAAACCCCGCCCACCCACCACTTCTCAATTGTGATGAATGTTTTATTCATCATGAGCTGAAGGGCGAAGTTTAATTGCAAAATCCTCATTTCTGTACAATAAATTGCACTATGAAATATGTTTTTAAACAGGTAGAATTTTTTGAGAAACATTGATGTAAAAACATATTTCATATGATAATTTCTTGTAGAAAAATGAGAATTTTGCAGTTAAACTCCACCCTTCGCTCTGATTAGGAATGAAAAACTCATCACAATTGAAAACGGGCGGGTGGGTGGGGCTTATAATTTTTTTTGGTATATAGACTTTTCTTGAACTGTTACGGAACAGTGGTGATGTCTGCTTTATTTGTAAATAAATGCTCCAAAAATGGAACTGAAATAATTACTGTCAACTTTTTTTTTTCGCGATAACCCTATATTGTGCTGTTTTAAAGATACCAAGTGTCTGAAAGTGATTAATTTTTTTTATTTTTAACTCAAACTTTCTTAGTTTTTAAATAAGAGTTGTACCTATTTACAGAACAGTTTTATCTCTATATTGGTCTTTGTCGCTTTGATATGTCGTCAATTCTTTATAACGTGACACAAGAAAGCAACGTCTGTGAGGTATCCAAGAACGTAATGTCTTTAATGTTTTATTTTTCTTTAGTAGTTGCACCTCTGAAGAAAGTTCTTTATACTATGCAGTGTTAGTGTCTCTCGAACAACGTCATGTGGTTCAGACAAACATCAGCCGTGTTTTTAATCAACAGAAAAAGTAAATGTGGAATAAAATGTAGAACAAAAATTGTAAGAATTTGAGTGTGTTCGGAGGCATCCCCTGTTCGAATGCCAGACATTCTATAGCCGGAGAAATTGCAGCACAAGTCGACGATTTCGAGAAGAACCGCAGAAAATCCACAGCTAAATCGTTGTGGATTAAAATCCCATAAAGTAACGTCTCAAACAGCTGCTTTTCACATATCTCCAAGACAAGATGCGCGCCATAAATACTAAGCAGAGCGTGCGGTGTCGATCTTCGGGAGATTAGAATATTGGCGTATGGGAAAAAATGGACGTCTTTAGTAAGCCGGTGCTGGGCGAGGAGACCGCCCCCTAATTATACACTTCTAACCGTGGCCCTCTGAATAATTTAGAAGAAACTGGCCAATAATAAGTCAAACATTAATTCCCCACCAGGTCTCCTTGACGGTTTCACGAATTATACACGCTCGCCAGCCCACAAACATCTACTTCCGGCCTACAAGAGATCAAGAGCTCCTGAAAGCCACCACTTCCGCTTATACATTTTTATATCGGCAGAGAGCCCCTCTAAGGAAAAAGGACACATTTGAAATTCAAAGTATTGGTAGTGTAAGAACTATGAAAACAAAGTTGAATTAGGAAGTCGTTCTCATTAGTCCGTTTCTTCTTTTTGCAGCTCCGACACTGCCGGATAATAATATTAAGAAACTAGAGAGAATTGATTTTGTAAATACATTTGGCTTAGACAGGAATTACTCAGAATGGAAATCTCTTCTAAATGCTAATTTCCCAAGTTTTATGATAAATAAATATTTAAATTTGCAAAGTTGGGGAAATTATTGCAACTCAGATATCTCTTTAATTGAGTAGATTTTCGACTAGGCCCGGGTTAATTTTAATCCATTTGCAACATTCATTGTTCTCTAGGAACATTCTTCGGGATTAAAAATCCGGGCCAGATTTATTTTGGACGCCTTGCGTGCTTCCCACGAGTATTTCCCAGCTTCTCTGGCATTGTTTTGAACGCTTCAGCTTTGTCTCTGCCCTCTACTGCACGGTTCGCTTATCTAACTGGTTACCGACGGAGTCAACAGGATTTATGTGTCCAGAGTTCTTTCGAAAAATAGGTACACACGTTTTCTAATAAATAACGCCTTTCGTTGAAACGACGCAGAGATGGAAAAGTTGAAACAATACTCACTTCCACACGAGGATAATGGCTATGAAAACGAAGATACCAACGGAACACAGCACTATCACAGCCGATGTCTGGAGAGATGGACTACTGCGGTAGCTTGCGTCGATCAGCTGGAAAAATAAACATCATTACCATGTGCATGTGCATCCCACAACAATATTAACTGGAATTAGCTCCAGTTTGTGTGAAAACTACAAAAAACCTTTTAACGGAAAGGAATCATCGAACTGATGCCTACGACTAAAATAACATCTTTAACATTTTTTCAGTTTTAAAAGATTTATGAAATAAAGAGGAAAACTTTTAACACTGGTAAAACTGTAGTAGAGCATACAAAGGATTATTACCTACAGCATTTATTTTGTTAAGATTGGACAAAAATCGCTTAATGTTCAAATTAGAATAACGGATCAGATATGTACAAAATGTACAGACTTATCTAATTATTATGGTTTCAATTACGGAACTATACGTTTTCGAGTATAAACAAAAGAAAATCACTTTTGACTTAAAACGATAAAATTGAGATTTTTAAATTATTTCACTTGGGTTTCATGATTATTCATCATTCGATTCATCATTAATGATTTATTTGAAGTTTTTTCTCAGTGGCATAATTTTTAAATAATCGAATCATGTCTCTATCAAAGTGGTTTTTGTCTATTTCATGATACATTCTTTTCCTGTTTTGAAATATTGTTCGGCTTTTGGGTTTTCTAAGTGGTCGAGATACTAATTCAATGAACATCATTTGTTTACTGGGGTTTCTGTAATAGGAATGTCTAGTATGGGTGCTTCGATTTCAGAGTGGACGGTTTGGCTTTCGTTTTCATCTACTGGGTGTTAATCAACGACTGTTTCAACATCTTCTAGTTGAGATTTTTCTGGGATATTGTTAAATAGAGATTCGTCAAAGTTGTTCTCAAGATTATCGTCTATTTTTGTGGGGTTTTATTGGTTATGGGTTTCTTTTATCTTAATACGTTCTGTTGGCATATGCGATGGGTAAATCGTTCGTTTAAGAGCTCTGGAGAAATCGGGATACTGTAATAATGGTCTGTTTGTCATAATTGACTTACAATCATCTATGCTCTTAATAAATTCTTCCGTGTGTATTATTTTACTGCCCTTTCCAGAGGCGGCTCATGAGTTGAGAAGTTGATGAGGCAAGTCATAAGATGCTCCAATACCTAAATGTCAAAAAAATTGTATGTCGTGCTTGCGTTTTTGGTTAATATGGAAATTTTTTCGGAAAAAATGAAATTTTCGAAGGTCAAAAATGTGTAATTTATAATTTTTCTTTCCCAGAAAATCTAATTCGTATTTGATTAGTTTTAATATCAAGAATTTCGAAAAAAATTTTCCAAGTTTTCCATAAATTTTGTTAAAAATGGTCACTGTGTCTAAATTCGTGTTTTACCTAAAGTAGTTTGCAGCAAACTCCTGGCTCTGAGAATATATTAAAAAATTAATGCGGAAATTTCTAGAAAAAATACACTTTGTTACAGATTTTTTTCTATTCTTTTAAATTATCTCAATTCCCTCAATATTCCCTCAGATTTCCTCAGAATTTTTCAGATCTTTACAAATCGTTTCACGTCCTCTCATATTTTTCAAGATCGCTTTGGATCCTTTCAGATCCCTACAGACTGTTTCAAATTTTTCCAGGTTTACCTAGATTCGTCTAGATTCCATGAGATTCTTTCGGATCCTCTCTGATTCTTCCAGATTCTTGTGATGTTTTCAGATTTTTCCTTTTTTTAAAGATTCTTCCTTTCGGATTCCTTGGATTCTTTCGGATGCTTTTGGATGCTGTCGGATTGTTTCACATTATATCGAATTTGGTCCTGTTCTATTCAGATCGTTTTAGTTCTTTTCGAATCTCCCAATTTCTCTCAGATTCCTTCAAATTTCTCCAGATTCTTTAATTTTCTTTCTGATTCTCTCTCTCAGATTCTTTCGAATTTTTTCAGATTCTTTCAAAGCCACCGTCAGGAATCCTCAAGATTCTTTCAAATTTTTCAGTTCTATACAGATCGTTTCAGACCCTTTCAGATCCCTGCAGATTCTTCCTAATTCTTCCCGATTCTTCCAGTTTTTATTTTTTAGATTCTTCTAGATTTTTAGAGATTCTTCGAGAATGCTTCAGATTTCTGGCAAAGAATGTGATAGAATCTCGAAGAATCTAGCAAAATCTAAAAGAATCTAGAAAAAGCTGGAGGAATCTGAAAGGATTTGTAAGGATCTCAAACAATCTGAACAGAACTGAGAAATTTTAAAGGATCTTGAGAATTTCTGATGGTGTATTTGAAAGAATTTGAAAAGTTCAAAGGAATCTGAAAAATTCGAAAAAATTTGAAAAATTCGAAAGAGAGAATCAGAAAGAATCCAAAGAATTTGAGAAAATCTTAAATTCTCTCAAATTTTTCCAGATCATTTCAAATCCCTGCAGACTCTTTCAGATTCTTCTTGTTTCTTCTAGATTCTTCTGAATTCTTAGAAACTATCCATCTACCACGATATAGGATATCAATAATAATTACACGTTTATTTTTAAAATATTAGAAAAAAAAAAAATTTGTTGGCCAGAAATGTATCGGTCAGAAATAATAAAAATAATAATACGCCGCAAATTCTTGGCTTAGACTATTAGTTTGCGGTTTAGCAATCTTAGCCATATTTGATATGAACTTTCGACCGTAGCCTACCAGAACTAGGACGATTTTAATTTCTGATGTTGTCTTCGGAGTATTAATTTTGTCCTGATTTGGATTTATACCTTCACATGTTATCATGTGTCCTAAAGCTTTAGCTTCCTTTTTTAGAAATTCGGTTTTATCTGGGTGGATTTTTAAATTTACTTCTCTAGACTTTCTAAAGATCTTATTTAATATTAACAAATGCTATTATTAAGATACCGAATAAACTACGATGTCGCCTAGATAAATTATGCATCCGCCTATATTTCTTAATACGTTGACCAGAATTCTTTGAAAGGTTGCTCCTTTAAACGTGTTTAAAGTTTTTAAGAATAAAAAAAAATAATCACAATTGAAATGGGGCGGGTGGGCGGCTTTCTTTTTTCTTAATACACATAGTATTCTTTGAACAACACGATATTCGATAATTTGTTGTACAGAAATAAGTATTTTGCAGTTAAGCTCCGCCCTCTTGGTTCACGGCGAATAAAAAAATCACCACAATTGAAATAGGGTGGGTGGGCGGGCTTACATTTTGCTTTTTGTTTTAATATGTGTAGACTTCTTTTCACAACATGAAACTTAAAACATGTTTAAAATGGAAAATTTGTATAAGGAAAAATCGCTTTTGCAATTAGGCCCCGCCCCATAATTGCAAAATCCATATTTTCTTGCAAAAATGTACCATTTTAACCCTGTTTTCAATATCTTATTGTGAAAATATGGCTATGTATATTAAGACATAAAAGGCAAAGTATAAGCCCCACCCACCCGCCCTATCTCATTTGTGATGATTTTTTTATTCGTCGTGAACCAAGTGGGCGGAGCCTAACTGCAAAATCCTTATTTCTCTACAAGATATTAAAAACATGTCTGTGTGTATCGTGTTGTTCAAATAATACTATGTATATTAACATAAAATTAAAGCCAAAAATTAAGCCCCACCCATACCTGTCGTGATCTAAATATGTTGTAATGAACAGACCTAGAGACGGAGCCTAATTGCAAAATCCATATTTCCTTACAAAAATGTACCATTTTAAAGTTGTTTTAAGTTTCTAAAAAAAAAAATCCTCACAATTGAGATGGGGTTGGTCGGCGTGGTTAATATACATAGTATTCTTTGATTAATATCGATAGTCAAAAACATGTTTTTCTATTCATATTGAGAAAATGTTGAATTTTTACTGCATTTTCGATTGAGAAAATTGACCATTTTTCAATCTATTGAAGAATGAGCACTTTTCTCCACAGTTTTTGTCCAATCAGAATGCGACATCTCCTTTTCTCCACAGTTCCCCACTAACACCCCTAATAAAAATTGAGCTCGTCCATGTGTTGGCCTGGTTATGTTATGTTTACACGTCATCATTAATGTTAATAAAAATAATTCTTGATTTTTTTGTTTTTATTTTCTGGATTATATGAATAGAAAAAGTATAGTGTTAAACTGGTGAGAAATTGGTCATTACACGAGGATGAGAGTTTCGGGAACGAGCCAAAAGCGAGTGGAAGAACTCATCACTCGTTGAACAATATACTATTTTAATTTCTTATAAAGAAATAAGTATTTTGCAGTTAAGCTCCGCCCCCTTGGTTAACGGCAAATAAATAAAAATCATCACAATTGAGATAGGGCGAGTGGGCGGGCTTACATTTTGCCTTTTTGTTTTAATATGTGTAGACTTCTTTTCACACCAAGAAACTTAAAATATGTTTAAAATGGTAAATTTGTATACAGAAAAATCGATTTTGTAATAGGCTCCGCCCCATAATTACAAAATCCACATTTTCTTGCAAAAACCATTTTAACCATGTTTTAAATTTCTTGTTATGAAAAGATGGCTGTGTATATTAAGAAAAAAAAAGGCAAAATATAAGCCCCACCCATCCGCCCTATCTCATTTGTGGTGATTTCTTTTTATTCGTCGTAGGCCAAGGGGGCGGAGCTTAACTGTAAAATCTTTATTTTTTCTAGAAGAAATTAAAAACATTGTTTTGAGTGTCGTGTTGTTCAAAAAATACTATGTATATTAAGAAAAAAATAAAGCCAAAGATTAAGCCCCACCCATACCTGCCGTGATCTAAATATGTAGTAATGAAGTTTTCATTCGTTACCAAACATAGGGGTGCAGCCTTTTTGCAAAATCCATATTTCCCTACAAAAATTTACCATTTTAAAAGCGTTTTAAGTTTCTGAAAATAAAGAAATCGACACAATTGAGATGGGGTGGGTGGGCGGGGTTAATATTTTGTTTTTTTTTTTTTTCTTAATATACATCGTATTCTTTGAATAACACGATACTCAATGTTTTTAATTTCTTGTAAAGAAATAAGTGTTTTGCAGTTAAGGTCCACCCCCTTGGCTCACGACGAATAAAAAGAAATCATCACAAATGAGATTGGGCGGG